AATTATAAATATTAAAGAAATCATAAAACATCAACGTCATCGTGACGTCACTTCAGACTTGGCATTATCACTATCTACCTACCCACCAAGTTTCATGACGATCAGACCTTTCCTTATATAGGTTTTGAAAAATTGCATTTTTGATGACGTCATCGTGACGTCACACACTTTTTAAAATTTTGTGCAAATACCTATTTACCTAATGAACCAAATACAAAAAGAATTTCGAATTTTGCATGTTGCATTCGTGAGATATGGCTAAAAGGTCCCAAAATTCAAATATTCATATAAAATCGCATGATGACGTCATCATGACGTCACCTCATTTTTTTTTTTTACCTATAACACATCCCGGTCTACCCACATACCAAGTTTCAACCGAATCAGACTTACAGTTCTGTAGATATGGGACTTCAAAATATGCACGTTTGTGATGACGTCACGTGACCCATGATGACGTCACTCTTCGGGACACAACTTTTCTATAATGACAATGCATATGCTTAATTTGAATGGTGTACGACAAAGATAAATGCCAAAGTGGCGCGTACTAAAATCGTGTACAAAGTCTATGGGATTTTACATGGAACAAAAAGAAGAAAGTATTAAAAAAAAAAATTTTTTAAATATGAACAAAAACAAAGGCTTTTTTGCAAATTATGTGCACTGACGGGTATTGTTACAATGACGTCATCATGGGTCACGTGACGTCATCACAAACGTGCATATTTTGAAGTCCTATATCTAAAGAAAAGTAAGTCCAATTGGGTTGAAACTCGGTATGTAGGTAGACCAGGATGTGTTCTAAGTAAAAATATGCAAAATCTGAAATGACGCCAACATGACGTCATCGGTGGATTTTTTTATGATTTTTAAAATATTTACAATTTTATTACACTTACAAAATTTTACCCTTTGTTTCTTTGGATTAACGTCAAACTTGGTGCACATCAAGACCACAATAAAAAATATGTGCACTGACGGGTATTGTAACAATGACGTCATCATGGGTCACGTGACGTCATCACAAACATGCATATTTTGAAGTCCTATTTCTAAAGAAAAGTAAGTCCAATTGGGTTGAAACTTGGTATGTAGGGAGACTGGAATGTGTTGTAGGTAAAATTTGAGGTGACGTCATGATGACATAATCGTGCGATTTAATATGTATTTTGGAATTTTTGGACCTTTAAGCAGTATCTTATGAACGCAACGGGCAAAATTTTAAATTCCTTTTGTATTTGTTTTTTGTATAACCTTTTTAAAATTTGTGACGTCACGATTACATCATAAAAAAACGCGAATTTCCAAAACACATATAACAAAAGTTCCTATTGTCATGGAACTTTATGGATAGGTAGATAATGTTACAAAAAGTATGCAAAATTTGAAATGACGTCACCATTACATTATTGTTGATGTACCCTAACGTGGCGCGGCCCCTAACGTGGCGCACTTGGATTTTTCGCCGGTAGCGCCTAGCTAGAGCAAAATTTTAAACTGAAATTTCACAGAAAGTGAAATTTCATTAAGTTCTAAACGGTCCTGTTCATAAATCGCGAGTTTATTTACCCGTAACAAAGTTAGAAGGAAAAGCTATTTTTGGCGTGATTTTCCGATTTTATTTTCAAGTGCAAAGTGAACCCTTTGAAAATGCCCTGAAAAATAAGAAAATAATTTTCTGACAAACATTTGGCTGGGTATGTAAGTAAAGATATTAATTATTTATCAGAATTTATCAAGTTTACAGGAATTCGTAAGTGTTAATTTGGAATTTTCCAAGATTTATTCAAGTGCGCCACGTTAGGGAACACTCCGCCAATTTGTGCCCAATTTCCGGACACCACCGTTTTTGAATTTCGGATTAAATTTTATGAAACTGAAATTGTTCACAGAGGTTAAATAGCAAGCACTGATAAGGTAAAAGTACAAGTATTTTATTGCATGAATTTGAGGTTTATCAACAAAGAGGTTTGGCAACACTACACGAGGAAAGTCGGGTAAGCTTCGAAGTGCGCCACGTTAGGGAACACGACTATATAGGTAGATAATGTCACAAAAAGTATGCAAAATTTGAAATGATGTCACCATGACGTTATCGGTTATTTTTATGATTTTTACCTCTCAGCCGAGAGGCTCGAGGGGTATTCATTGCCTACGGCGTCCGTTCCAGCCAGACGGAATTGTGGGGTGATAGCATTGTGTTCCCATTATCCCTTTTTCTAAAGATTCCCTTCTGGGGTGATGTTTTTCTATTGTGAAAAAAGTGGGGTGATGTGTTCTGAAAGGAACATCACCCCACAAGGGTGGTACGGTCAGAACGTCCATCCGTCCGTAAGGACGTTCTGACCATACCCCCCTTGTGGGGTGATGTTCCTTTCAGGACACATCACCCAATTTTTTTTCACAATAGAAAAACATCACCCCAGAAGGGAATCTTTAGAAAAAGGGATAATGGGAACACAATGCTATCACCCCACAATTCCGTCTGGCTAGACCGGACGTCCGTCCGTCCGTCCGGGCAGCTTAGTTTCCGGATGATAACTCGAGTTAGGCCACACAAAAAAAGTCTCCGGTTTCTGGTATGGAGGTTGCCCAAAAAGTGATGCGGCGACGCGGCTTTTTTTTTTTTTTACCTGATTTTTTTGCTTCAAATGTGTGCTGATGACTGCAAATGGTGCCCGACTAAACTTAGTGCAAATATATGGGAGTCCAGAGAGGCCACATAAAGCTTATTCTCGACCATAACCCAATCTAAAAACACGTTAAAATTGTGCAGCAGCAGTATTCCAGTCAAACCAGTGAGTTTGGCGGTTTGGGGACATCATCTTTCATTAAAAAAAACTTTGTCATTTTGCCGACGCACATGGCTACGGCGACGCGCGCGCATACCAGAAACCGGAGACTTTTTTGGTTGGCCTTAGAAAAGATGTTTAGGATTGTAACTTTGGTAGTAGGCAAGTTGCAACCTCGTCCCCAGTGCTTACTTTATTTCCAACCGCGTTTCCAATAGTAAACCCTGGATAGGAAACTTTCTTCCTGTATCCTGATTGGATACCGCAATTGGCTTGTAATGGATTTTTATCGTGTACTTGGTGCTATATATTCACAACGTGCAGTACGTGTTTTTTGCGATCATTCGTCCACGCCTTCTCGAAAATACTAATTTCCTTTCCAATTTGCTCATATTAATATGAAATATGATACTGCATGTTGTCTCGATAAGATCGTAACAGTTTGATTTCAAAAATCGTGTTTTCGTAACTCACGCCGTGCTCGCGCTGCTACGAATTGACTCTGTTTTTACCCCAGACACCCCATACAAAAACAAACGCTAGTGTGTAACGCATATCCAGGCACCAGACTGTTCCTCATTTGCATACGTGTGCAAAAATCTTGCACATGCAAATGATCCAATACCAGGGTGAGAGAGCAGGTAGTGATGGGCGCGTACTGCTCGACACCCTGGAGACGAGGTTGGGCAAGTTGGGATTGGTTTTTGGGGTCAAAAGGTCAACGGTCAAGGTCACCGTGGTGAGTTAAAGGTAAATGGTTTCCGGATGATAACTTCAGTTAGAAATGAGATTTTGGTGTCTAACTTTGGTAGGGGGTTGCCCTTGGGAGTAGGCAAGTTGGGATTGGTTTGGGGGTCAAAAGGTCAAGGTCACTGTGGTAAGCTTAAGGTAAATGGTTTTCGGATGTTAATTCGAGTTGGAAATGAGATTTTGGTGTCTAACTTAGGTAGGGGGTTGCCCTTGGGTACAGGCAAGTTGGATTGGTTTTGGGGTCAGAAGGTCAAAGGTCAAGGTCACTGTGGTGAGTTAATGGTTTCTGCATGGAATGTCAGTTTGCCCTTTTCAACAAACTTTGGCTGAGGGGTTTCAACAGCAACGCTATTATTTTTTTAATACTTAAGATTTTATTCCGCTTACAAAATTGTACACTTTCTTTCATGGGATTGACGTAAAACTTGGTGCACATCAAGACCACAATGAAAACATGTGCATTGACAAGTGGTGTTACGATGACGTCGTCGCGGGACATGTAACAGCATGTTAAATGGTGTATATTTTAAAGTCCTATATGTGAAGAATTTAGTCCTGTAACTACGGTATCTTTTTGCATATGGACAAAACAACCCCCCCCCCCCAAAAAAAAAAAGAAATACGGAAAAGCCCCTATGCTCTGTTCATCGAACAGACATAGCTCTAGTTATTATTATCATTAAATCAATCCATTTAAAAAATGTTTATCCAGTTTTCCTGGACAAATTAAAAACATTTCCATGTAGATGAAGAATAGATGAAAATAATGATACCATTTCCGAGTTATTGTAAATAGGACATTTCAAGAAAGAAGGACATTTCTGCAGAAGTTTATACAGATTTTTCCGCTGACCCATGTCGCGCAGCGTGATTTCCGCATGGCGCAAGCTGGGCCAGTGCTCTAGACTAGTGGACGGCCCAACATTGGCCGCCCGTGTACAGTGACATCGTTTTTGACAGCGCGGGGTTTGTACATGTAAACGTACTGTCAGAAAGTACAGGGTGAGTAAAAAAATAAAAAATAAAAAACATGTCAGGACCATTGTTTTAGTGAAGTTCTGCATGTAGCACTTTAAAAATCTAGGATATGAAAGCCCAATTCATAAGCTGTTCAGTGTTCATTCAGCAAAACGAAAACAAATCATAAAAAGATGTGTGTGAATTGTTTTCGTTTTGCTGAAGGAACACACATCTTTTTTGTTATCCGTGGACAGAACCTTAAAGACGGCGGTTGTGTTCAAAACTCCGCAACTTGAAAAGTACATGAGTGATTTGAATGATTCTTGTACTAAAAGAAAGCTTATGAATTGGGCCTTATGAATATCCTAGATTTTGAAAGTGCTACATGCAGAACTTCACTAAAACAATGGTCCTGACATTTGGGTTTTGGCTTTTTTTTTACTCACCATGTACAAAAATATAATCCACCCAAGGAACACAAACATATTCGCAATATTAAACTTGTAAATCCTGTAATAATAGTTTTTAATATCTCATTCATATGCTGCGATAAGTGGCATGTTTGGGGAAACTGAAATGATATTGTCATGGAAAGAGGATTTAGAAGTAGAATATACATGTACAGGGTGTCTAAAAAAAGAAGAAGCTAATCCTACTTTAAAGGGTTATAATGGCCAGACTATATATTTTCCAGCAAAAAGCATGATATAATCTTAAAGCCGAAGCGTTGTGCTTTTCAATGACAGCTTATTTCAAAATAAGGTATGATAAGTGAACCAACTGCATTTTTGCACCACAACTTCAAGACAATGGTGCTCCATGATGCGTGACCCTGGAATGTTACCCAAGGTATCATTGAAAAGCATAAAGCTTTTTGCTGGTAAACATATAGTCGGGCCATAATAACCCTTTAAAGTAGGATTACCTTTTTTTTTTGTGACGCCCTGTATTTGTCCACACAACCATCCTTTAAAAATTGCCGTTTGTGCTATTCATGCAAGAAGGAATTTCAGGCATCAAAATTTTGACTCACAAATCGAGCTGTTTGGGTGCTAGGCGTGAATTCATATTTGGTCCACTGCAATTCATGAATATAGCATTCAGATTCGTCCAAATTTTGGGAAACTTGTCCCATGCGCAGATTGGGGTTGAATTGAGAAAGCAAATTTGTCTTTTTATAATTTTCAAGCTCCGGTCATTTATATTCAGGCAGACTTAGAGGGCAATTGTTTTGTGTAGCTTGAATAGGTAAGAGTACTAAGAGTACTGAATAAAAAAAATAACGCCGTCTGTGAAACCTTTTCAGGTTCACTAGTGAGTCACAAGTTGTCTGCCTGTTTTCTATGGTCATCTTTTCATGGTCCACTGATGTGGAGCAACAAAAGGATATTCTAATGTTGCAATACAGTTTTACAATTATTAAAATTGTTAACTATTTTATCAAATGATATAAATGGGTTCACAATATAGAATATTTTAAATGCAAATGCAAATTTATTGTAAATAATGAACAAAAAGATATACACTTCTTTGTAAACAGAGTAACTTGAAAGGCTTAGACTACTGACTATCTACTGTGAAAGCAAGATATTCAATACAAATGTTACATATATCAGCACAAATCATTAACAAAAACATGTAACACTTTAGATTTGTCTTCTAATAAAATCTGTGAGGTATTGACTCCTATGACATTAGTAACATGATAAACAGAATTGATTTTCATAATCATGTTTTTATATTTAAATATTTGGTTAACAAACATCCATGATTTTCTCAGGACCGATGAACACGCCTTTACTACTCAAACGCAATGGAAATTGGTTCACCAAGTATTTTCGAAAAAGTATTGGGCTCCCTATTGTGTTGTGATTAAAAATAAAATTGGAATGATGGGGGAACTCCACATTTTACTATTTTACAATCAATAACCTTCTACTCTATAAAGTCTGATCTTGAAGCTTTCGATAAAGATACAACTTTGCGATTGTTTCACATGAAAAAAATAATAAATCAAAACAAAACAAATATTTTAACTGCTAACTATACTATTTAATTGAATAATCAACAGGGAGATGTGGTAAGACAAAATTGTAACACACTGCTTGCTTGTTCTTTGTCCTGGTTGGCTTAAACGCGGTTACGTGTGACTCGCTAATATAGGCTAGTGTTTGAAACTTCCATCAGTGTGAACTACAAATGCGTCAAGACATCTCGCGCACGTAATTTCCAGAGTATAGTGCCTGATCGGGCACTATACTCAAACATTTTTGACTGGTAAAAGCGCCCTCCGACAAAACTCAAACTCAAAAATTTAATCTAGGGAAACTAAAAGCGTTCCTTTAATTGTTGAATTGCTTACAGTTGAATTGCTTATGAGTTAACTGTTGAATTTAAACAGTTCAATAATAAAACCCTGAAAGGTTTTTTTTTAGTTTAAATGTAGGACAGAGGTGCAAAAACACATATGGACTGGCATAATTTGGTCACTAAGTGCATGTCTATGCCCCCTCTGCCCTGTGAGTGACCAGAACAGGGTCCTATGGTCACTCACAGTCCCTCTGGGCACAGTGCTCTAGTGACCTCATTGCCAGTCCATATGTGTATACTATTTAATGTTTCTCAAGAAAATTGAGTTTATGGCTGATACCATTCTTTCCTTCACTCAAGTACAAGCAAATAGTAACAGAAAATAGTAATAGTCATTTTTTTTTACACGTATTTCCCTTCTCTACAAATCAGTAAATATACAGGGTGAGTCAAAAAGAAAGTGACCTGGAATAATTTTTTTTTTCTTTTTTAAATATCAATTTTTTTCTTTCTTAAATATCAATCAAATGTAATACACAAATGAAGTATATCGTAAAAGAGCATGTTCTTCCACTCATCTGAAAAAAAAAAGCATTACTGAAATTGATCATGCTATCAGAAGTTATGCATGTTTTACTAAAAAGAAGCTATTTTTATAGCTGTCTATGGAATGCCATATTGATGGTGATTTTTGTCTGTTTTCCTCTGCAAGTTTTCGTTGTTTCATGGAGGTGGGAAATTTTATTTAAAAGTTATTCATTGGTTCGTAGAATTACTATTCTACGAACCAATGAAAACCTATGATATTTTAGTAAACAGACCATAAGATTCAGCTGTCCACTAATGATCAGTGGTGGACAGCTGAATTTTGTGGTCTGTTTATTAAAATAGTCATAACGTGGGAATAGAGTATGCAAACTAGGTGACATTTTCACAGTCAATAACATGTACTTTATCCTTAGGCCAACAACAAAAATTGCCTCAGGTTTCTGAAATGGAGCTTGCCCCAAAAGTGGTGCAGTGATACAGGGGTTCCCCCCCCCTATTTTTTTTCCTTCAAATGTCGGCTGATATTGCAGATGACACTTTGATCCCCTTAAAGCTCTCAAAATATCCTTCAGGGTGGAGCTTGAGGTAACCTTAGTATGGCCATAACGCTTGAGAATTCTGCACCCACGATCTAGACCCATATTCTTCTGGAAATTTAAATAGTCAAGAGAAAAATCAGAGAAAACAAATATGTCAGATCATACAGTGACATTGACATCATGCATGTGCTGCCACAAAAGCGTTTACAGGTTCCAGATACACGGCCATCGCTCGTTCAGTCTGGTTTCCAGACACACAATTACAAAATTACACCATCGTCTGCATATGGTGCCCAACTAAAGTTAGTGCAAAATATGTGGGACACATAAAGCTTATACTCGACCTCACCTAGTAAGTTTGGCGGTTTTGAGACATCATCTTCCATTGAAAAAAAACCCAAAAACTTAATTTTGCCAAAGCACATGGTCCGGAACCAGAAACCGGAGACCTTTTTTTTGGCCTTTTGTTATTTTTATGAAATAGAGCGAGCCATATATTGTTTTGTTACATATGTTTTCTTATTTGGTTACGTCCTTTTTTACTCACCCTATATATACACACATGTATCCCAGATTTCTTCTTAATGACCAAAGACAGTATGTTATATAAATTTCAAATGGTTTGATTCACATCTAGAGTTTTTTCTTTGAAACACCCCAAAATACTAACATTCCTGTGAGTTCCTCTCCTTGAACTTGTCAGCGGATCTTCTTTAGAGCCTACCTTGAACTAGTTGTCTTGCAGTGATGACAGACAATTTTTTAACAGTTGAACCTGAGCCTGGAAGCAAAAGATTTGGAACAGCTTTTAAATTATCAGGACCACAGAAGTGTAGAAAAACTAGACTAACAGGTCACTGAAGTTTGTGATCGAGTCAAGTAATTTTAAGGAAATGATTGAGTCGAGTCAAGTCATTAGGGCAAGAAGGTTGAGTCAAGTCGAGACACAGTGTGTTGTTGTGTCGAGTTGAGTTGAGTCAAATTTATGCTCATGTCAATTTGAGTCACTGATAACACATGAACACCATCTAATAAACAACATAACAAAGCCGATGATGAAACCAAGAATTGCAAAATGTGTTTAAATTCTGGTTCAGGATAGTATTTTGTGCATTCATTTAAAACCATGATGTGGGAGTCCATGATAGGGCACATATTTGTACACGATAAGCGGTTTACTTGACGGTAAATCAAGGTACACGAACATAACTAACTTTGTACTGCAAGTCAACAAAAATATATTTTCGCACAGTTTTGGGACTCGAGTGCTATTAGCCTTCCACTCAAGTCCAGTTGAGTCTTCTGATGAGGGACTCAAGTTGAGTCGAGTAATATGCATGCAGTATTAACTTGAGCCGAGTTGAGTCAGTTTAACCTGTTTGGACTTGAGTCGAGTTGAGTCGCCAAAAATTGAGTCGACTCGAGTCATTACAACTCTGTAGGGAGTTGGAACTTAAAAAGTGATGAGAGTGGCTACTTGAATAAAGCAAGGGGAAAATTTAAGACACAAAACTTTGGATGAAAGTACATCTGATCCCCCACCCCTTGTATCCAATTTTTTTTGTTTTTGTTTTGGCTTTACTGCTTAAAAGCAGTAAAAGCGACCAATTAGTCGCCCAACGGCAAAAGCCATACATGTGTATTTTTGTATTTTTATGATAGTGGGCCCCCTCTAGTTGGTACTATGGCCCCCCTGACGCTCGGGGCTGGCGACGGACGTGTCCTGAGGTTTTTGCAAGACCACTTGATATATGAAGACAAGGTAAATGCGCACAACTTTTGGGTATATTGTTGATGTACCCTAACGTGGCGCAGCCCCCAACGTGGCGCACTTTGAGTTTTCGCCTGTAGCGCCTAGCTAGAGCAAAAGTTTTAACTGAAATTTCACAGAAAGTGACATTTCATCAAGTTCTAAACACTCCTGTTCATAAATCGCGAGTTTATTTACAAAGTTAGAAGAAAAGTTTATTTTGGCGTGATTTTCCGATTTTATTTTCAAGTGCAAAGTGAACCCTTTGAAAATGCCCCGAAAAATAAGAAAATAATTTTCTGACAAACATCTGGCTGGGTATGTAAGTAGAGATAATAATTATTTATCAGAATTTATCAAGTTTACAGAAATTTGTAAATGTTAATTTGGAATTTTCCGAGATTTATTCAAGTGCGCCACGTTAGGGAACACTCCGCCAATTTGTGCCCAATTTCCGGACGCCACCATTTTTGAATTTCGGATTAAATTTTATGAAACCATAATTGTTCACAGAGGTTAAATAGCAAGAATTAATAAGGTAAAAGTACTAGTATTTTATTGCATGAATTTGAGGTTTGTCAACAAAGAGGTTTGGCAACACTACACGAGGAAAGTCGGGTAGGCTTTGAAGTGCGCCACGTTAGGGAACACGACTATAATAGTAGAAATTTGGGATCGTTACTATGTCCTCATAATTATTCCGTCACTTGCTTTAGAAAATGTTATTAAAGTAGGGATGTACAAGCCCAGACTTAGGGTTTAGTTGGCCCTAGGCACCAGCGTTTTGTAGGTCCTCCACCCTAGGCACCGGCCCCAAATCCATGTTGCTGCTATTGTAGCGCGACTTATTTTTGGGTCCTTGTCCTCCAATCCAACAAAATAACTGAGGAAGGGGACATGACACACATCTGATTTCAACTCCAAAAACTCAACTGTTTTATTTCACAAAATAACCGCCAACTTGCCACACTCTATCCAAAACCAACAACTGATTCCCAGCATACAAAAACACACAGTCTGAACAAATGTATACAAATGTAGCAACTTTACCCAACCCTGGAATCTGGCCAAGCCCAACTCATGTAATTGAACAAAAGAACCCCAATTAGCCAACCTATTTATAGAGCCTATTTCCAGAGCATGTGCTAAACCAGACCCCAAACCAGGTCAGGTGAGTGTCGCCGGAGCCCCTCCGCTGGAGCACTAGTGCTAGAAAGCAATGACAACAAAAGTGCTGCATAGACTGTCCATTAACTGCCCCCTCCCAAGAATTTGCCTTTTCTCCTGAATACGGGCACAATTACAACAAATTTTACATGAACTGATATTTGAAATTAAGGGTGTCATAAGTGATAGTCGATCAGCATTGATTCTAGTCCCAAGACTGGTTACATAGAATCAAACAATGATACAACTAACCACGATGCCTACCTTACATTTTTTTTTTTACCTAACAAAACTATTTGTCAAGTGATGTTTATATAATTTAAACAGTTATTGAAAAGAATTCACCGTACATGATCAGAACAAAATGCATATATACCAATTATTGTCCATTTATTTACCTGGGGTGTCCTCGAGAATGTTGGTTAATGTTGATTTAGGTCCTAATTCAAGCAAAAACACAACAATCAACCCGGGGACAACCCACAGGCCTATGGTGAAGACTCTAGGCCGTCCTACTCCGGGCCCTCCCCAGGCCGCTTCGGTGCCAGGTTTGCCACAAGATGTCCCCTGGCTCCTCGAGTCCGATGGTCTCGGTCTCCCGGTAGATTTGCATGCTGGAGGGGTCCTCCCTGGTCTCCGGGGTGAAAGAAGAAAATTCTTCCCTCATCAGGACGGTCTCGGTCTGGCCGCTACCTCTGCTGTTTCCACCGCATCTCCTCTGGTGGGGAGCACCCTCTCAGCCCTGCTGTCTGGACCCGGTTGGCCATACAGCAAACTCTGGCTAAGTTGGCACTCTCAGGACCCCAGAAAATGTGACAGCTTACGCGAATGCTGGCATCTGCTGTAAGTCGTCATTTTGCCGACTTACATGAATGGCCTTTTGCACACATGATTTATTGCACTAATTGGCTTCGATTTTATCTGGTTCATGTCCTTAATGCTTGAGTAGAATCCAGCAAATTAATCCTTGAATTGTATCATCACGTTTGGGGTATTGATACTGGAGACCACGATACATATGTATGTGCACGCACAGTAACAAATTAAATGCGTGCGTGGTCTGGTATATATACCACGCACGCACTGACTGCAGCACTAGTCATTCAATAAGACGACCCCCAAAATGGACAGAGCGCATGGGGTACTGGTATTGATATGCTCACGATGCAAATGCGATGTATGCAGTAGGGCACCCCTTTTCGACACCGATACGTGCAGCGATCAAGGGCCGTGCCAAACCACTTTTCACTCGACACTGCTTGGAAACCGCAGTACAGGAAGTCGATGCCAATGCGGGATTTGTTGAATGCCGACTTAATACCCAAAGGATTTTGTAATGGGGACTGACAGTAACACAACATGGCGACTTATAAAAGCCGACTTAAAAATCAAAAATTCAATGGAAATGCATTACGGACAATCGGGACTTTAGTCCGATGGCCGACTTGAGTGATTTGATGAGTTGTGCGATGTCGGTTTAGGCGGGGTTTACTGTATATTTTTTTTAATCCTTTTTTATTTAATCTTTATTGTATCCCACTGGGATAATTTCAAATGCTCACATACAATAACAACATCGACCCATTATAAAACAAAGTTACATATATAATTGCACGAACAATAAAAATGAACAATCAAAATGATTAAAATTTCCTTATATAATATCATTTTAACGCTGGAACATAAGATTGTGATGTCCCCTCGTGGACTCACAAATCACCTTTGATTTGGGGGAATCCACTTCTTGGACTCTCTTACCTGTTAAACCTTACATTTGCATAGATTAGCACCATCTATAGGAGGAGGGCTTGGGAGAGGCTGCCATAGGTACTACTGTTTAAGCACTGCCCGGATTGGTATGTCCCCTCGTGTCCTCACCATAATTGATAGGTAGACATTACCAAAGTATGTGGAAAGGGACTCACCTAGTACAGGTATATGGAGTTCTAGTCTACTAGGTGTTGGAGGCAGTCAACCTGTCCTGACGGTTGGGATGAGATGCCATGGCAGCCGAGAGGGCTACTCGTCCAGTCTGAGATTCTGAACATTGGACGTCCTTCAGGTAGCACGAGACGAAGGTTGATGGCGTTTTTCAAGCAGCTGCCTGTTGGCAGAGGAACGCCTTTCAAAAATGCCGATGATGTCGTTAATGCGCTGGTTTCATGAGCATGGGCAGTGTTCTCTGAACGTGTAGGCCAATCTGGTACAGAAGAGTCGATTGTCCTCACTATCCATCGGGAGATCGTGTCCCGTGATGCCCCTGAATAAGGCTGAGTTGTCGTAATGAACAACTGGGTGGTCTCACCCCTGAGGGGCTTGGTTCGGGAGCAATACCACTTGAGGGCCCGAACCGGACACCAGAGTTTGTCATCTCAGACTGAAGGGATAGTTTTTATCTTCAGAATAAAAATATCAGATGGTTGGAAAGTTGATGACTGATTTTTTGCCGGAACATTTTATGAGGAATCAGTCGTACTCCATTGGTTCCCATCGTACATTACCCTGTTCTATGGTAAGGGCATGCAACTCACTGCGTCTCCTGGCTGTAGCCACTGCTATCAGGAAAACTGTTTTTAATGTCAAGTTTAGCAGAGAGGCACTAGCAAGGGGCTCATATGGTTGCTTTGTCAATGCCGACAGAACTGACCCCAAATCCCAAGAAGGGACTAATCATTGCCGAGGTGGGCGACTTACAAACATGCCCCGATGCAGGTGTTTTAAGAGGATGCTGTTTGAAACTGTCGATCCGTCAGAAAAACCTGTATGAACTGCCACTATTGCGGAACGGTAGCCTCGAACTGTGGAAACGGAGAGGCCTTGCGTAAACCGTTCCATGAGGAAATCACTGATTTGTCCTACGGATGCTGTGGGTGGATCAATAGACTTGTCTCCGCACCATTTATAATAATGTCGTAGTTGGCTGTTATATGATTGTCATGTTGAGGCCCTACGACTTTGGGCAGCAATGGTGGCAGCGTTTGCCGAAAGTCCTGCTGTTCGGAGAGACTGCTCGACAATAGCCAACACATCAGGTGGAGTGTCTCTGGCTCTGGCAGTAGGATTTTGGAGTGGGGTTGAGCAAGAAGATCTACCCTCTGAGGGAGTATTATTGGTGTGTGAATCAGAAGATTGACTATTCTCTGAAACCAAGGCTGATGGGGCCAGAATGGGACGATGAGGAGTATTTTGCAATGTTCCTCAGGACCTTCGGAAGGAGAGAGATCGGTGGAAATGCGTATCCGAACATGTTTGCCCAGCTTATGGAAAGGGTGTCCATCGCCCATGCACGGGGATCGGGACTTCGTGCACAGTATACCTGCAGATGGTTGTTGAGGGCTGACACAAACAGATCTATGTGCAGGCGATCTAGCCTTTGGAAAATGTTCTGGACTACCATTGGGTGTAGTGTTAATTCTGTCAGGATTATTTTCCCTTTTGAGAGAGAGCATCTGCCATGAGGTTCAGCTTGCCAGCAATGTGAAGTGCTGTAAACATTATGTCGTTTGTGATGCACCACATCAGAAGATCCCAAATGTGTAGACAAAGCTGAGGAGACTGTGTGCCTCCTTGACGGCTTATGTAGGAGACAACGGTGGGTTGTCAGACTAACACTGCGTGACCTTTTATCGTGAAATGGAAGTGAATCAGCGCTTTTCTGACAGCCAGCAGCTCGAGAACGTTGATATGGAGGATCCTCTCGTCTGGGTTCCAATTCCCCGCAACTGATTCTGTGCCAAGATGCGCCCCCCAGCCGTGGTTGGAAGCATCCGTTATTAAGGTCATTTTCGGTTTGGTTGGAATGAAAGACAGACCTATGTTTAGGTTGGATGGA